GCCAAGTAACGACCAGAAAGGACATCTTTAGACGGAGGTTCATACGCTGGACGTAGTGTTTTTAATAATTCGATAAAAAACGGGTTCTCAATAATGTGAAATGGGATTCCACAAACAACAAAAGCTTTCACCAGTGCTCTGTTTATATCTTTAATACGTTCTGGCGTCAATTTTGTACTTTCGATAAAATCTGAAAGTTGTGCTTGATTTGACTGATTGCCAAGTTTTCGTTTCTTTGATTTTGATGTATCAACTTCAAGTGCCTTTGCTGCTAACTGGTTTAAAAATAGGTCACGAACATCCGGTGACACGTTATTACATAAATTACCTAAGTGGTCTTCGAGAGCAGCAGGAGAACCTTTGTACCAAACTTGGTTACAATAATTGCATGTTGCATTCCAATGTCCTTTGGAAATTGACTTTCCTTGCTTAATATGATCCCCCCATACGATAGATTTTGGTTTTCTACTTGTTTTTGGTGTAGGAGTATTAGATGAAACAATAGGAGGAGCTATATTGTTATCAGAATTTTCGGTCATTTTGCTAATACGATTAAACTTCGCTGAACTGAAATTTGAATTAGCGTTAGTTCATGACGCGTTCCTTTTAAAATAGTGATAATGATGATATCATAAATGTGCAAATAGCCATTTTTACCCTGATAGTAGAACCGTTTATGGTATGTATACATCATACATATGATTTGAAGATATGATTTAATTAGCATTAGTTCACGACTGATTCTTAATATAGTGATAATAAGGCATCATACATGTGTAAAAGCCATATAGATTTTTCACCCTTTGAAAGCAGAACCATTTACAGTATGTATACATCATAAATTTGATTGTTCTAAAAAAAAAGTATTACGTAATAAGGCTGTTCTTGTTTAGATCAGGATTCATGCATCAATTTCGGCCAGTTTAATATAGCACTTGGGTCCCAGAGCAAATTCAAGCTGAAATCTATTACAAATCTACCGGTTCTGGATCTGAAAAGTTTAATCGTTTCACTAATAGGATATTATAAACTAAAGTTAGCATGAATGTTTCCAGTTTAATAAATATCAGATAAATCACTTTAATATCTAAAAGAAGTTTAATTTAATACCGGGTATGATCTTGAATTCGTTCTTAAAGACTTCCATTATCAGCTAAAAATGAATTCTTTAGAACAGTTTAAAATCTTGAGTATAACGATGTTAGGTAGTTCATCTAATTACCATAATAGATTTTCCATATACCGATACCGTTCAACCAGGTTACAGAAAATATAGAACAAAATCTTCTAATTTTTAGTATTATTTAGTCCGTCAAATGGGAATCCATTCAATTACATTTCTGATTCTTTAAACTTAATGCACACATTACTAGAATTAATAAATAGTCAGTATTTGCCTGAAATTTAGTTCAGGGTCAAGTTATTTATTTTTTCAAGATAAGATTTTTACTTTATTTTATATTTTGCTACATCATTTCTCCTCAATTCTTCACTCCGATACTAACATCCTCACTTCTTTACTTCGATACGCTCCTTCATTTTGATATTAACATCCTCACACCCTTACTTCAATACATTCCTCGTTCAACACACTACTTTCACTTCGGCACCACTTATGCTCGACACGAGGTTTATATTTTATTCATTCATTGAGAAAAAGAATCGATTTACTAACAATTCCTTCCCTTTTATAACGTTTAGCTCTATTATACTATTATACTATAATTACTAATATGGTAACTAAAATAAACTCTGTATGCATATAACTCTTGATCTAACCGATATATACCGGTACTTGTAATACTGACGCAATATGCAGGGTACAGATTATCGTAGATAACGTACGTACGTCGTACGTACGTGTAAATTTTATTGGTCAGATTTGATTCACGTGTTTAATATAGTTTCGGACAATTCGGACAATTTCGGATTAAGGTCATAATTTGGGCAATTACGGAAATATCGGAAATATCAGAAATTTAAATGTTAGGCGAAACTAATATCGCCTGTATTTCGGATTCGGATCGGGCGAAATAACTGAATTTCGCCCGAAACATTATATGAGACCTTTAAGTGTGGAGTCAAGGGTGTAGGGGTATAGCTGTGATGGAGAGAAGTTGAAGGAAGGGTGTGAAGTGATAGTGTATAT